TGATGGTGAAGGGTGATTCTGCGATCGGTAGTGGTGAAGGAGGCGCCGTTCGCACAGTGTCCCTGATTGGGACCAATTTTGGTTCCAGTCGGGGTACACTTTTTGGTCCAACTTTCTCCGAATTGAATTCCGTTTACACCGTTGCGATCAGACAGTCGAGCTCTATCCAACGATATATTTTTCATAATTATTTGTAATACTTTTTCCGACATCATATTTTTGGGTGTTTGACTTTAACAGAGTCAAAATTGGTTTAATTGACCTTTCTCATAAAAGGTTCTCTCATTTAATTCATATCAATTATTCTCATGATTTATTTCAATAAATCATTTCAAAGTTCACATCATAATTAATTAATTTATTTATTCTTGATTTGGGTCTGTACTCAGGTTCCCAATCAAGACCACACAAATAGTCCACATTTTGGATTTATCTCAATTAGACTTATCCAGATTTTGATATTGGATAAAAAAAAAAATTTCATATCAGCCCAAAGCCCAATAATAATCAAAACAAATTTGTTTAATCGAATATTTATTTAATAATAATTCTAGGGTATGTTTCGGGGCGTTACACTTCTATATACTACGTCTCTTAAAACAACATTTTGGGTTGAAGCTTGGCTACTGCAAATTTTTTAATCAACCGCATGCCAAAGCATTCTCTCCAAAATATGTCACCCTACAAAGCTCTTTATCACTCATTTCCTGATTATAAAACCCTCAAGGTTTTTGGATGACTAGCTTATCCCTGTTTACGCCACATATTTGACCATAAATTCCAACCCAAGTCTACACAATGTATTTTCTTGGGGTATGACTCTCTGTCTAAGGATTACTGATATTTTGATCTTAAATCTGGTTTTGTTTATATCTTGCATCATGTGGAGTTTCAAGAAATCCAATTTCCTTATTCCTCCAACACGTCATCTACTGTTGTTTCTCTTTCTTTGTTTCTTGGGGTCCTCCCACTCTTCCTGGTCAGTTCGTTGGAAGGCCACTTGCAAGCTCACATGGTCCCGAACATAGCCCAGCCGCTTATCCAAAACCAACCCTCCCACACACCCCACCCATTAGTTATTCGAACCGATCGCCCACCTCCCATCCACGAAACCTTCAACCATACCCAACCACACCTGCCAATTAAAACCACCCGATTCTAACCCGAGCCGCATACCGAACCATAACACCAGACCACGCAACCCACTTCACCTACCCAATTTGGCATTATACCTTCCCCTTTATCCAGTCCTGAATCATCACATATTCCTACACCACCGATGCCTCCCCCATGGCACCACATGACCACCTGTGCCCGTAATGGTATCCTTAAACCCAAACTTCATGCTACCTTTATCATTACCTCTACACCTCCTATCACTAAGCCTACCTACAAAGAGGCCTCTAAGAATAGTTATTGGTGTCAGGCTATGGATGATGAATTTATTACACTGATGAATTAGAACACATGGAACCTTGTTCTAATGCCCATTGATCGTGTTCCTATTGGTTGTAAGTAGATTTACAGAATAAAACATAATTCTGATGATCTTATTTCAAGGTGTAAGGCACAACTAGTTGCCAAGGACTACACCCAGGAGCATGGTTTGGATTATTCTCTAGCCTTTAGCATGACTTTCAAACAACAAACGATCCAGGTGGTTCTCTTATTAGCAGTTACTCATAATTGGTCACTTCATCATCTTGATGTCTTCAATGCCTTTCTCTATGGTGCCATTGTAGAAAAAATCTATATGTAGCAATAGAGGTGGCAATTGGGTCAACCAGAATGGTTTCGGGTTAGATTTTTTTGGTTCGGATATCTTTTGGATATATGTTATAATGAGTTATGTTCGGTTAAGGTCAGTTTAATTTCGATTCGAATTTGATTCAGTTATATACATTTTTCGGTCTGGTTCGGTTTGTTGGAACACACTTTATACGTTAAACTAAGGTCGTGTTCATTTCTGACAGGTTTTGATAATTGCCAAACCGCCGTGGATATGAAGAGTTTCGTTGAATAACTCAAGGCGTGAAGAATGGATTGGAACAAGACCTAAAAGACTCAAGGACAAGATCAAGATTTGAAGACTTAGTCGAGTCGGTCTTTTGTGATCAAAACCGATAATCAATTCAAGTCTCGGTTCTCAAAGAGTCAAAATTATTTTACAAAATCATAAAATGTTTTTGTGCATCAAAATAAACATTTTAGATAAATCTCTTTATTGTTAAAATCCTTGGTCCTTGCTCAGAACCAAAACCACCTAAGTCGGCGTTCGGCTTTCGGCGTTCGGCCTTCGTCGTTCGGTTTTTGGCGCCCGAACCAACTCTGTGGTTTTCAATATTTTAAACCCTGTTTTTATCTCTGAGCATATTTTAAAGGTTCCCAAATAATTATTTTATAAAAACTACTCTTGTATCTTGGTCAATCGGTCTAACACGTGAAAAACGGTCAAAACCGTACGCACGTGATTTACGACCTTGAGGACTTAGTTTCTACCAAACAAGTCTTGTTTTCACTATTTTATACCATATACAATGTTGTTTTCAAACTTGGTTTTTACTTTTGGGAACACTTCGTTTTTGGACCTCGGTTTTTCAAAACGGGTTTCAGCTGGCTAGACTTTAGCTGGGTGATAATCG